AGCTAAAATCCTCCAATCTTTTCCAATTCAATCCACCAACATCTGTCAAAATGCCAAGTTTTCACAGCCAATGTCAGCATTGTTACTGCGATCCCAGCAGATCCCAGTCATACTTTAGCAGAGCAGTCCAGTTTATCAGTAATTTGCATGCACCAATTGCCTAGGAATGCCAAGACCAACTGGACTATCATCTGCAAGAAGCCATATATGATTGGGTCCAGAAGAGGCTTACATCCTCCTGACACGTAGCCCTGGGGGACTTCAGGGTGGAAAGATGTGGTCTTCCTCTCGGCTAAGGGTGCAGCTAAAGGCACGCACATACACATGACCTCCTCCCCCTCCTCTGCCAGTCAATTCTGGGGAAACAGGGTCACTCTGAGCAAAACTGCCCCCACCAGAACAATCCATGCACTTTGCTCCCAGCTGCCGTCTTTCATGAGGGTCCCTGGAGACCAAATTGTAAGACAGATGGGACAGCTGCTTATTCACCTGTAGGAGACAACTCCATTCCACCATCCTTCCCAGCACCCGCCTCCACAACACAGGCTCTTTATACAGACAAATACTTCTGTGGCATGCATATGGCAGCGGAGGGGATTTCCCTCGCATTAGAGGGAAAACAGGAACAAGCCAGAGCCAAGACAGGCTCCTCTGCAGCAACACACGACCCCCAGACGTAGGGCGAGCACCTTTCTCTAAGTACGGCTTTTGTTTTGCCTTACACAGAAAATAAACTGGCCTGAAGGAAAGGGTCTGAACGAGGGGCCTGAGCTGGCAAGGGATTCTGGGAACATGCATCACATAATGTGCAATTCTAGAAATAACTATCCAAACAGCAGGTTTACTCCTGTGGAGATGTAGCTCAACAAGAGGGCTTAAAAGCTGCATCAGTCTACATCTGCTGGTCAGGAAACTCACAGAACTGGTGAGGTTGGAAGGAGACTCTTGAGATCGTCTAGTCCAACCTCCTCACTCAAGCAGCGTGCCCAGGACCATGGCCAGTCAGGTTTCTAGTATCTCTACAGCTGGAAGCTCCCAGATGCAGGACTTTGCATTTCTCTTGGTTGAACTTCATGAGGTTCCTCTCTGCCCATTTCTCCAGCCTGCCCAGGTCCCCCTGGATGGCAGCACATCCATCTGGTGTATCAGCCCCTCCTCCCAGTTTTGAGTCATCTGCAAACTTGCTGAGGGTGCGCTCTGCCCCAGTGTCCAGGTCACTAATGAAGATGTTGAACAGTACTGGCCCCAGTATTGACCCCTGGGGTACTCCACTAATGACTGGCCTCCAACTAGACTTTATGCCACTGATCACAACCCTCTGGGCCCGGTCATTCAGACAGTTTTCAGTCCACTTCACTCTCCACTTATGTAACCGTACTTTGGCAGCTCATCTATGAGGGCCTTACATGAGGAAGTGTCAAAAGCCTTACCAAAGCCAAGACAAACAACATCCACTGCTCTCCCCTCATCCAACAAGCTAGTCACCTCACTGTAGAAGGTGATCAGCTTGGTTAAGCAGGATTTCCCCTTCACAAATCCAGACTGGTTACTCCCAATCACCATCTTGTCCTTCATGAGTTTGGAAATGGTTTCCAGGGTTAGTTGCTCCATCACCTTCCCAGGGGTCAAGGTGAGACTGACCAGCCTGGAGTTCCCCACACTCTCCTCCTTCCCCTTCTTGAAGACAGGAGTGGCATATGCTTTCTTCCAGTCATCAGGAACCTCTCCTGACCACCATGACCTTTCAAAGATGATCAAGAGCTGCCTGGCAGTGCCATCAGCCAGCTCCCTCAGCACTCATGGGTGCATCTCATCAGGCCCCATGGACTTGTGTATGTCCCGTTTGTTTAAATGTTCCCTAACCTGATCCTCCTCTACCCGGGGCAAGTCCTCCTTACTCCAGACTTTCCCTCTAGTCTGAGGGGCCGGGGATTGCTGAAGGCTGGTCTTACCAGTAAAGACTGAGGCAAAGAAGGCATTTAGTAGCTCAGCCTTCTCCTTGTCCTTTGTCATTAGGTCCCTGCCGCAATTCAGCAGCGAACCCATGCTTTCTCTAGTCTTCCTTTTGCTGCTGATGTCACTTGCAGAATCCCTTCCCGTTTCCCTTCACATCCCTTGCCAGATTCAACTCCAGGTGGGCTTTGGCTTTCCTAACCCCATCCCTGCAGGATTGGGCAGTGTCTTTATATGCCTCCCAGGTCACTTCTCCCTGCTTCCACCCCTTGCATACCTCCTTCTTGTGTCTGAGTTTAGCAAGGAGCTCCCTGTCCATCCCCGCAGGCCTCCTGCTGCCCCTGCCCGATTTCCTACTTGTCAGGATGGGCTAATTCCTGAGCTTGGAGGAGCTTGTCCTGGAATATCAACTACCTCTCTTGGACACTTCTTCTCTCCAGGTTGGTATCCCATGGGATTCTGCCATGCAGATCTCTGAAGAGTGTGCTCTTGAGACATTCAGGTCAAATGCCCAGGCTTCCTCCATCATGGAGTGAAGAGTTCAGAGCCCAGGAATAGGACGGACTGCTGTTGGCCAGGTGCCTGACCACAGAGCCATTTCAGCAGCTACAGAAGGTATCGAGGAGAAGGCCATGCCTTGAAATCTGCTCCCTGTAGGGCTGGGAAACCTCACTTTTGGCTTCAGAGAAAAGCCCACCTCACCCACAGCTCACAGCAGCAGCTGTACCGGGTCAGGCCAGCCGTGCTCCTGACTTCCCAGCAACAGCCGATAACGGGAACACGATGAGGAAAGAGCAAAGCAAGAACACAGCAATGCTTCCCCACCACATGCTCCTGACCTCTGCTGCTGGATGATAAATGAGTCCCTGAGTTGGAGCTGGTCTCTTCACACTCAGAAGCCTGCAAACGATTTTTCTTCCTCGGATTTGTCCTGCTGCTTTCTGAACCCCTGTCAGTTTTTAGCCTCAGAGTGTCACTTAGCAAGTAGTTGCACAGGTTAATCGTACCTTAGATGAAGAACCACAAACTTGTTTCATTCAGTACCTCATGCTCTTGCACAGGAAGAGACAAAGATCAGCTACCTCTGGTTCACCTTTTCTGTATCACTCATTTATGGACTTCTACCAAACCCTTTCTCCTTCAGCATCATTTTCCAAGCTTGAGAGTTTCAGTCTATTTAGTCTCACTTCTTACGGAAAATTTTTCACAGTTTTGAGCATCTGTTAGTTTTCTCTGCCAACTTTTCAAGTATTACTTTTTAAGTCTGAAAGACCAAAACTGCATGCAGGTTTCAAGATGTGAGTATAGTACAGATTTATACAAATATATTAATGTTTTCCATTTTGTTCTTTTTTCCTAACAATTCCAAAAATTCAATTTTTTTTTTCAGGTTTGGACTGGAATCAAAGTAAGCCCCAAATCTTGTTCCTGAGCAGAAGTCAGTCCAACACCTTCACTGAATATGAAATACTGGTACTGTTTTTTCCCCCCCATATGCATTACTTCTTGTTTTTCTGTGTTGGTGTTCAGCTGCTGTTTGACCATCCAGTACCCAGTGTCACCAGTGACCCTCCTTCACAACTGCTTTAGTTGTATTTTCTGACCTACTCTTTTGTCTGTTTTTTTCAATGCCTCAATGCTAAAGAAGATGTTTTCACTGTGATGTCACAATGATGCCAGATCTTTATTCCTAAGCAATTATGAAGAGCTAAAAAATCTTTAATGGGCAAGAGTACCTCACAGTGTTTCTTCTGGTGCGTGTTATCTTGCATGTGCCAAAATAAACTTATTTTACTACCACACTGTTTATCAACCCAACTTGATGCAATCCCATCCACCCTCTTCTTTTGTTTAAGGAATGTAATTTTGACTCATCTGCAAATTTTGACCTATTTCCTACCCTTTAAGACCAAGAGCAACCAGTGACCCCAGCACAGACCTTCTGAGGGTTCCCTGCAGCATTCGGCCAGGGTGGAAACAGACCATTTTCCTCCTCTGCTTTATTTCTTTACTGTTTTCTGAGTCATAGCAGCATTTTCTCCTTCACCCCATGATCAGTTAAGAATATAAACAGCCCTGAAGAAGCACGTCACAGTATTTTTGAAAATCAAAACAAGTTACACACATAACTTTGAGTAAAAAGTGCTCAGACCCACAGAGACAGATTTGGGATAAGAAGCTCAGTAAACCAGAACACATTCACTGCTTTGTTGGTAAGCTCCAAGATTTCAGGATAACTTAATTTTTGTATAACGAATTCTCACAATTTTCTCCTGTCACGTCATAAGCAATAATGTCCATCTAATTACTTTAATGACCAATAGTTTTTAAGAGCACTAAAGCTTGACTGCCAACAGAGATCGTATTCCACAGAGTAACCCTACATTTATCCCTCAAACACAGAAACCCAGTGCCAAAAGCGTATTCCTGAATCCAACCAGCAGACCCATTCCTACAGCCCAGCCTCCCACGAACATGTCCACCAGCCACATGCGCTCAAGACCAAGCACAGACCAGCAACATCACCCCTGCTTTCACAATTGATTCCCTACTGAGTTTGACCATCTTCCCAAAGGTCAGTCTCCATGCCGAGGCGAGTACGCTCAATTGCCAGAACAGTATTGGTGAATACCCCTGTAGTCCAGGCAGCACACTCAGTACTGCGACAGGCTGGAGTGACAGCAGGGAGTGACACCCCCTGCACAACAGCATCCTCCTCTTTTCCCCTCCAGAGCAAAGCTATAACTCTGTATCTGCATCCAACGCATGTTCTTCAGTTCCCGAAGCACAACAAAAATTCTCCAGAACGCTTGTTCCTCAACTGAGACATGAGCTAGACTGCCCTGCAGCTTCAACATTTTATTCAACTAATATCCTAACTATCTAGAACTTATAATTTAGACTATAACTGAATTGACCAAAAAACTCAGAAAAGTTTCCTTCCCATGAAATTAAAACAACGTATACTGCTCTGTCAGGAAAAGGAGATACTTTTTCCATGGAAATGAATCTCCTCATAATCACAAAGCAAAGATGCTGATGCTTACCTGTGAGAGGTGAAATTGTCGTAAGAGCCCACAGTATAATGTCGGAAGAGCCGCTTTGTTCTGTCTTCTCTGGTTTCTACAAGAAAAAAGACACATCACAAAGCTGAGAGTTAAAGGAACATTTCTCTGTTGTCTCTGCTTCCCCTACATGCATACAGAGTGAATCCTGCTTTCATGCAAGCATTTATTAATAAACAAGTAATAATCTATGTGCAGACACGTGTCAATGTGATCAGTCACATGCATGTTTGTGTACAGTCCCATATGCACACAAACAGCTTCTGTGAATATAAAGAACTTCTAAACCACATCAAGTTGTCAAATTTCACCAAGACTCCAAAGCAGAGCCAAGGAGGAGAATCAGCAACAGTAAGGCAAACACACGCTCCATGTCCCAAGGCAGCAGCCAGATTCCTTCCCCTTGTTCTGTTTGGCCACATCAGTCTTGCACATCTCAAGGCAGAAGACTGCAGTTCCCACAGAAGAGATGGTAATAGTCCTGGTTAGCCTTCCTTCTCACCTGGTGGTCACTGAGGTCTCCAGGTGCACAGGAGTTATGAGGAAGGAAAGCCGGGAACCCAGAGAGACTTCTGTTACCACTCGACTATTAACCCCGGCACCATCCCCAACAGCGCTTTGGCCAAAGTCAGAGCAGCAGGCTTTTCAGGCCATACTTGTTGGACCAAATCTCCCCTTTAGGGTGTAACAACTCAGGAGTCTACTCACCTGCCTCAAAAGTGTGAAAAAGCCAGAGAACCTGCCAGCCTGATCTGTGAAGCTGACAACAAAAAGAGATGCCAGGGCCTCCAGGCTGTTGGATGCTGAAGGAAGGCAGCCTGACTCATGGCTAAGTGGATAGAGATGCCACTGCAGACATCCGAAATATGGTCTGCAGCTAATGGCTTAAGAGGAGACATGACAGGGAGATGGAAAAGAGTTTAAGCTACCATTCTCCTAACGCAGAAGGGATTTGCATCATACTACCAAAAACGAATTTATTGCATGACCCAGGATTAGTACGTAAGACTCGCCCTGCAGAAAGCAACTGGGTCCTCGCACTAACCAGACTGAGTACGTTACATCGAACCAACTCATCCATGGCTACAGTAGGGTGATGGGACTCCAAACAATCAGGTAACTCCACTCCTCTACTTTGTCACCACTTTCTTGTGAAGCCCTCGGTGCTGCTCACTGCACTAGTGGCTACAACACCAGGTAGGCTGTTGCTCTGATTTAAATTCAGCAAGTCTTTAAGCATGCTAACTAGGGCAGTCAGACAGAAGAAATTAATAAAGGGGATGAATAAGAGAGGAAACAAAGAGCAAAGTATAGATGAGACTCACCTTTTTTCTTTTGTAGGGACACAAACTGTTTGCACCCAAAGCAGTAACAACGCAAAATAAACATTTGTTTTCACCTGCGTTGGAATTCAGAATGGCAACAGCCAGTGGGAAGTGGCTGAAAAGCAGAGGGGCAGTTTTTACTATCATTACAGCACTGCCGATCCAACAAACTTTGTTTTAAGCTCAGGACAGGATGCACTTTCAAACCTTTCATCCTGGTCTCACAATCACATGAAACCATCGCTGCTGGCAGAAAGAAATGCTGCCACAGCAGCCACAACACCAGTTTCCCACCCTGGGGACAGACGACAGCCCTTGAGGCAGCAGCAGCAGCCGTGTCACCCCGCCAACACGCTGTCCTGCCTCTCACACGTCCCTAACAGGCACTGGCTGCCCTCCACTACCGGACACTGCTTCCAGAGACTTGGCTGTAGCCTCTCTGATCCCAAAGGGGCCTCTGCATAGGGTACAAGGTATATACCTCAGCACAGATGTCCTGCTCTTGGGGAACCTCACTCTCAGCACGCACCTCCATTTCACACACAAAACATGCTTACTATTGGCAAGGCTGAAAGAACAATTAACTTTACCAAAGTTTAGAAATAAAATCACCAAATACAGTACTTGTTTATACTATTGAAAACATAGTTTTGCTTTTTTTTCCCCGATTCTTGTTTTTCTGCCCCTCTTGCATGTTTGTTTTTTGTTTGGTTTGTTGGGGGTTTTTTTTTAGCTTTTTCCTTTCTTCCTCAGAAGAGCTGAAGAACAGCCCTAGCATCCTGGTACTTGGTCCCCCCAGAATAATGCCCCATGCCATGTGGTTCTGGCTCTCCTTCCTGCCACGTCAGACAGCCTCCTATGGCAGAGGTCTCTAAAGTGGGGCGCACAAGACAATCCACTGGGGTGCAGAAAGAAGACTTTTTTTTGTACCATTAATAAAATTTTAAAATATTTTTAAAATGGTGTTCATTCTATCTTTATCTCACCATTTTTTAGTTTTTATTTTTGCATGCGCTTTACAGTGCACATAGTATATTAGCAGAGTAGTACAGGTGTATAATTCATAAGTAAATATATGTGTACTGGGGGCGCGTGCTCAAAATTTTTTTTTTACCAAGGGACACGTGATCAAAACGGTGAGACCCCAAGGCACGGGACATGCAGCATCCCAGAGATTAACGCAGGTGCTCTGGCAATCCACTCCCCAAAAGAAGCAAGTGCACAGCAACCCCCCAGCAAGACCACGCACACAGCGAGGACAAGGATGCCGCACGCTAGGTGAGGTGCAGCCCAGCCCTCGCAGTGCCACAGCTTAGGAGCATTTAGGGGACATCACCGTGCAGGGAGCAGCCCCTGGTGATCCCATGTGCTATTCCAGCCTTGCCACTGTGCATCGCCTAATGTGTTTACCTAATCCAGAGGGAGATTTCTTGGAGCCTGATGATACAAAGGGGGCTGATGGCTCCCCGTGAATCTTCCGATTAGGTGGTTGTCCACCGAGCCCCATCCCTGCGGTCCTGGGAAAAACTGTCTCAAAGACCCAAGGAATTAATCTTACTGGCAAAAAGACACGCTATGCCAAGAAACAGAGGTGTTAAGGACTGATCAGCACAGCAACACACCGCAAAGAGTTAAAGGAGATAACCCTTTCGCCTGGATCATCTGAGGCAGCTTCTCACCTTGCTCACCATCGTCCGTGAAGGCAGAGCATTCTCAGCTCCAAGTCAGGCGGAGATACCAGACTCTACACCTGGCAGCACAACCAAAGCACGCTGCGGCCATAAGGAAAAGGAGGCACCACGTGTTCTCAAGAGGGGCTGACATGCTGTCGGGGAAGTACCTGCACCACACACCAGCTCCTTCCCCGCTGCTGTGGGAGCGCCCAGATAACGGCAGCAGGGAGCAACCTCCTGCTCTAGTTTTGCCTGCACACCATGCACACAGCTGGGATCCCGCAATGCTTTCCACTGAGGAACAAGGCAAGACAGCAGAGGCCTAAAACATACCTAAAACATCAGGACAAGTCTTGTGTGTTGTGCCTCTGAACAAGTTGGTACCCACAAGTCTTTAAAACTTGACACAGATGTACGAAAAATGGGAGGGGGGAGAAGGAAGGAAGGAGGGGTCCCGTGGAGGCACTGGCATGGCATAGCCCGAGCAGGTCATGACAGTGATGGTGAGCACATCCACCCCCTCCGCCTCATGGCACGCAAAGACACTGTTCAGTGAGAGACATCCACAGTCCCCTTAGACCCCTGAGAGGGAGGGAGCGCGCTGCTGCTGCTGCAGCACAGCAAACCCTGTTCAGACAGGCACCCCCTCCTCCCACCTCACCTCTCCCCTCACTCCTGCCTTTAGGAAGTCCCGCTTCCCCTGGCACCACGTGCCTATGCTTCAGTCCCTTCTCCACCCTACTCTGCCTCCTTCTGTTCATCCCCTGCTTCCCTCCATGCACGTATGGACATGTACCTCATCTGCAAACACCTCTATCGATCTCATTCCAGATAAAAGAATGGTGATTTAGTGATGGGAGCTGGATTTATGGGCTGTCCGCAGCCCAAAGGCTCGTTCTCTTCCCGACTCCTAAATATAGCTGCTGCTGAGCGCATGTTTAATGGAGCCGTCACAGAGGCACCAGGGACTGAGGCTGATGGATGGAGGGGAGCGAATCACTTGGAGATAGGTGTGGAGAGGGAGGCTCTATATTTAGAGAAGAGGGAGCAAGAGGACACCAGGGCAGCCCGGTGGGATGGGCTGTGCCCACGGGGTGGCAGGGGCTCATCCAGACGCACACAGCAGCACAGGCAGCCCGCAAAGGACAGGCACAAGCAGGGAAACAGGAACAGGGAATACCGAACTCTGGAAAACTACAGCCTGGAAACCATGAGGAGCATGTGGACGGGTGCAGGCTATACTCAAGCTGCTCTGCACACTGCCTGTAAAGTGCTTTTGTAAAGTTTTTAAAACGCAGTTCTTTCTAGGTAAGTCTGCCTAATACATTAAATAAAAATACAGGGATATTAACATCCCATGGCTGACCAAGAGCAGTCTGGACGTGCCAGAGAAAAGGTTCTGGGAGAGAAGCAGCAGCTCTCATGCAAACTGACCAGACAGAGACCCCTGCTGGGCCAGGGCAGACTGACAAGAAGTTTGGGTGCCATTCCCATGCATCCTCCAGCATCTGGATTGTCCCCATCCTCTCTTCTCTCAGGCACCAACATTGGGTTGCAAACAGAAAAAATGACTCTGTTGGAACGTGAAAATATACCTTTTTGTTTCTACAGAATGCTGGAATTACATTTCTAAATACTGTTTAGAATTTAATTTAATTCCATTTAATCTTATTAAATGCAAGATTTATGCACCTCTATTGGCAGCAATTTCTCTTTCCTCATCTATTTTTGACCAACTGCTCCTGCATCACAACAAGCACCTTAACAACAGGCGTTCTCAGAGGTGAACAGGCAGAAGTACCCCATGCCAGCCAAACAAAGGACTGGACCTTGCAGCCAACAAGGCCCAACAAGCACCTTCCCTGATGGTCACCGGCTGCATGCCCTTTGGGCCAGCGCAACGCAGATGCCTGCACCGCAGCACTGGGTGAAGAATGACAAGTCATTTTTTGGAAACTGATCTCATTAATCATTTGATGCAGCAGCAGGGACATTGTGATTATCACCCAAGAGCTACATCAAACCACCTGAGAGGTCAAGGTCACAGCAAACCATAGAAC